AGAAGTAGTAGTTAGTTGAGTGAGTGAGTGAGTGAGTTTTAATTATCGGGTATTCAGCTTAAAATTAATTGATATGAAAGTCATATGTTCAAAATATTAAAGGTTAAAATTATAATTAATAATTGTTAATTAGTAATCTGATGGCGCAATTGATAATGCGGAATCCGCACAGGTGACGTAAATGATTGAAAAAGGATGTGAAAAACAGACGTATTTCAGCCTTTTTTGTTTCTACATCTTTCTTAAATAAACATATTTTTTCTCTTTTTTAAAATTCAACAAATGTCTCACTCATTTGTTATAAGCCACAAGGGCACCAAGCGCGAATTCGATATTGACAACACAACCACACTGGGCCAGCTGCGAGGTCAAATCCGAGACGTGTTCGGGGTAGACCCAAGCAACCAAAAGCTTTTCCGCGGAGGCCTTATCAACAATGACCAAGAGACACCAGTAGCCAGCATAATTCCTCACAAAAGCCGAGTTGTTTTAATGGGCACAGTGACCGGTGAGCTCGAGCATCTACATGCGCGAGAGGCACTGCGACAAACGGCACAACAGAACCACGAGCGATACAAGGCGACATTGTCGGATATCTGGCGCACGCCCACAATGGGAAGTCTGAGCAGAGACAATATGCAGCATACGTTCCATGCATTCGAAGCTCTTGAGTTGCCAGAGAAACAGCGGGCGCTGGATCTCTTGCACAAACTGAGTAAAGATGAGGGCGTGCGGCAGATTATGGTCACCAGGCAGTATTCCGTCGGCACATTGCGCGAGCTTCACCCGTTTGAGCGCACCATTCTCGGGTACAATAGGAACCGCGGCGAGGTTATTGCGCTGAGGCTGCGCACGGATGATTTGGAGGGTTTTCGCCAGTACGAGAGTGTCAGGGATGTCCTGATGCATGAGCTGGCGCATATGGTTTGGGACGAGCACGATGAGCGGTTCCATAGGCTCAATAGGGAGCTGTGCAAGGAGGTTGTCGAGCTCAATTGGCAGCTGCGTGGGCAGAGGGTCGGTGGACAGGCGCCGAGGGTGTACGAGCCGCCGAGGCCGGAGGATGCTGAGCTTGTGGATGGCGGGTCGCTTGGGAGCGCTGGCTTTGTGCTGGGCGGCAAGGCACCTAGCCAGGGAGAGGAGGATGGCCAAAATAGCAGCCCTGATAGTCACCGTGACTTGGCGTACAAGGCCTGGGAGAAGCGGTCCCGAAAGAATTAGGTTTTGGTTTCGGCACAATCAATGAACAAAGAGAAAGATACTTGTGTATATTCAACAAAATAGAAGCGAAAAAAGTGCTGGGTTTAGGTGGCCTTTTTGGCAGCCTTTTTGGCAGACTTTAGCATAATAAAGGACAAGAAGCCAAAGATGGCAGTGACGCCGACAATGAGGAGGAACACGGGAAGCGCAATGGCGTACCACTGCGGAGGGAACAGCACGCGTGCCGGGTGGTCTTCGTCGACAAAGGGGATAATGAGCGTCCAGATGGAGTAGTATGTGAATACGAGCGAGCCAATTCCGAGGAGAGCTGCTCCCACCGCCTTGTCGTGAATCTGAGTCATTTTAATAATGTAGAAGGGAAGGGAAATGCTCGTCGTCGTGATGTGGTTGTGGAAAAAGTAGAGATAGAAAGGATAAATACGTGCGGGAATTAAAAGTGTTAGGGAAAAGGGGGCAATTGAATTGTAAAAGAAAAAGAGAGAAAATGTGCCTTATGTTTTCTTGTTTCCTTTTTGGCTTCAGCATGTATGCCTACTGACTGGCATTCACTTACTTGATTTTGAGACCGAGCTTTTGATGAGGGAATTGGAGATCAGCCCCCCCTTTTTTTATTTGTGTGGAGCCAAAGAATGTTTTTTATTTTTCCTTCTTTTTCCCTCCCCCACGAATTTACTTACAACATATTTATTATTCACAATGTCTGCCGACAACTCTTTCAACGAACAGCAGAAGCAGCATATTCTTGACAATTTCATTGCGCAAGCCGGGCTCCAAAGCATTGCCGACGCAACCAAGGGCCACAAAACCATCGCCACGCGAGCCTTCAAGCGCGGCGACACCATACTCTCCATCCACCCGCTATTTAGCCTCCCGGTGCGCAAAAACGAAGACCACGATGATGACACACCGTCAGACCAACAAAACAAGCAGCAGCAAGAGACTCAGCCGCAGGATCGCTGTACACATTGCTTCAAAACACTGCCGCCTAAACGCCGGCCACGGTGCAGCCAATGCCACACGGCCTTGTATTGTTCCACGCGGTGCTTGGCTGACCACTGGAATGCACGGCATTATTTTGAGTGCGACCCGAAAAATGCCGAGAACAAGGGGGCTTTGGAAAAGGCAGAGGCGAAGATCAAGCCTGTGTACAGGCCGTATTTGCGCATGGCCGCAGGAGTCGCCCGGGTGCTGCAAAATATAAAGCAGCAGCAGCAGCAGGTGCCAGAGTGGCTTCGGGTGCAGGCGTTGGCGTGGGACCGGCTGATAAGCCACCGATCGGAGCACCCAAAGTACTTGCTCAAGCAGTACGCCGAAATCGCCAACCTCGTTCCCCAAGCACCCGGCTCCTTGGTTCCCCTGGACCCGGTGGACGCGCTGTGTCGCTTTGGCTGCAACAACTTTGCGGCGTTCGATGATTCCGGCGACCAGAATCTGCTGCAGAGCACCGGGCACTTATGCAGCCCCCTCGTGTCCCTGCTTTTGAACCACGCGTGCCTGCCCAATGCCTCCTTTGTGTACTCTGCGGGCGGCCGCCAAGTGGTGCGCGCCCTAAGGGATATAGCCGAGGGCGACGAAGTCACTTTGGCGTATATCGATGGGCTCAAGCCAAGATCGGAGAGGAGAAAGACGCTGGAGGCTGTGTATTTCTTCACGTGCCATTGCGAGAGGTGCGAGCTGTGTGGCTCGCCCAGAGCCCGCATGGACGCCCTAATGGACCGCTCCCCCCAGTCAGATAGCGCGGCACATGCGATTCCGCACAATCTGCCGACCGATTACGCACAGCCGCCCTGCGCCGACCCCTGGGTGACAGAGGTGACTCATGCTCTGCTCACCTTGCTGGCCAGCCGGTCGCGCCACACGCACGAGGCGAAACTCGAAACTCAAATGATCGATTCTGTCGAGTCACTCGACCAACGCGATCTATCGTTTGCTGCATACCGACACTGGCTCGAGTGCCAAGACGAGTGCCTCGAGCGGATCTCTACTGGTTCGGCCGATGAGGACGCGCACTGGCATTGGTCGTATGTGTCTGCACTGCATGTTTTGGCATTTTATGCTTTGGTGTATCCGCCCTTTCACCTGCTGGTCGGTAGGCAGTGCCTGTTGGTTGCGCAGCTGGCGTGGAACTCGTTGCAGGGCTCGGACTCGCACAAGGTGAATGAGAAGCTGGGGCTGTCGGAGGGACTGGTGAGGAACCTGGCGATGGCGGCGCAGAACGTCTTGGAAGCCTCGGGCGATTTGGAGGAGGTCATGGGCGGGGCCTCGGCTACGGAGAAGAAGATTGCACTGCTGCTGAGCCAGATCGAGTATGCTTAAAGAAGTATGTGGTGGTGATTTATTAATCAATCAAATCCCCATTTAGCATTGCATTTGCATACAAGGACATTGTCCACGTGGTGAGTGGCGCACCTTGGGCAACCAACATACGCATGCGAATTGACTGAAAAATGGAGGCTTTCGTCTTTATCATTGTTAAATTGGTGCTTGTCGCTCGCTTTTCTTTATTCTGCCTTCATATTTTTTATCAAAATCACCTAAGCATATTTTATTACACTTAAATGCCATGTCTGGGTTTATCTTCAACGAGCTCCTCGACAAACTGCGCACCAGAGACACCAGCACCACACATTTCGGCAGCAAACTCGATCTCCGCGTAGCCACCGCCAACGCCCAAACCCGCACAATCACCTATGAATACGCAATAACCAGCGACGAAGTATACCGCGGATACCTCGCCAGCGGATGGCTCTCCACCGTAGTGGAGAACGCAACGGATCCGTTGATTTGCGCGGCAACGAGTAATGGCAATATGGTGACTTCGTCATTGACAGTTAATACGCTGGAGCCTGTGATGGCTGGTGTTGTTGTGGAGATTGTCTGTCGGTTGGTGTTGTTTGAAGGAAGGATGGTGCAGGCCGTGGTTACGTTTAGGGATGCGAGGAGGAGAAACATTGTTTATGCAGCTGGCGTGCACACGCTTATTTACAAGGAGGGACTTTCTGCCAGCGGTGGCGGTGCAAAGATTTAAAGGAAACAAGGGAGGATGGTTTACAGGATAGTGTACAATATGTGCATGTGTGCGTGCTGGTTTGCTGTGTCAATCCCTTAATATTGCAGCGCTGTTGCTTGTCTTTAATTTATTTTTAATGAGCAGCAAAGCAATTCTTTGCATCGCACTTATAATTATCTTTTAAAATATAACCAGGGACCATAAAATACTCTGACAAAATCAACCCCCCATGGACGCACAGTGCAACGAGTTTAAGCAGCACGTTATTGCTTTGGCGAGTGCCAAAAAGAGCCACTACTACTACACCGCCGAGCTTCCCACTACCGTCACACACGCGAGCAAGCTCGGGCGCACAATAACCGTGCAAATCACCATAACCGCATCGGAAATCACCAGCTCGGGCTGCATCGACGAAGGCCTTGTCAGCACTGTGGCAGATTACTGGACGTCGACGCTCATAAGTGCCGTTCACGAGGATAGGCCTGCGGTAACCACCTCGTTGACTGTGCAGGCACCCAAGGTCATTGCGCCTGGGACCAAGGTGGATGTCGTTTGTTTGGCGTCGGAGGGGTTGGAGATGCCGTATGCCTCAGCCAGGTTTGCTGATGCTGTGGATGCGAATAGGGTGTATGCGGTTGCGAGTCATACAAAGTTTTCAAAATATATCAAAATGAATAGAAAACATTTAAAGGCAACTAAATTTGGAATATGTAATACTTTTTTCACCCTTCATTTTTCCTTTTTCTTTTATAAATACTATTTATATATCCAGTAATATGAACATAATCAATAATTTTGGTTTCGACGACGGCACATCCATTCACAGCATGGATTTAGATCAAGGCATTCTAACGCTAGAAATGGCCATTACTCAAGAACACATCAATGTCGCCGGCACGCTCGATGAGGGCCTCGTAGCCACCCTGGCAGACAACCACACGAGTTATCTCCTCATGTCCCACTCTCTCATCAGGAACCCTGGGGGGATGCCCATTTCTGTCTCCCTCTCGCTCAACGTCCAAGCGCTAGCTCCTATTGAGCCGAATACAAAGGTACATGTGGTATGCCGAGTGGGCAATGCAAACTTGGCCAAACTGCATGTCACAGTAATGTTTGTTGATGCTGAACGGCCCAGTGTCGTGTATGCTTGGGCTTCGCATACAAAACACTCAAAGGATATTTTGGGCTTTGCCAATTTCAAAGCAGCAAAGATGTAGATGCATGGCAGCAGAGTGTATTTACCAATATTGCCTCTCTCCCCCTCCCTCCATCTATCCACCACTCCCCCCCTCCATGAAAATAGGAAGGTTTTTTATATATTTACAACAATCAAGAGTACTTTGAACGCAACCACCTTTACTCACTACGCAGTCACCCATGCTTGCATTTGCAGCACACAGGCAAGTTAACATTCATCCGTGTTTAAAAATAAAAATTCCGAACAATTTCCCAACACAAAAATGCAGCCTCTACATGTATATTAATGTGGCCACAATCCACTATTTGAATGGGGGAGGAAAAAAGTATTTCTAAGGCAACAATGCGTGGTACATTTAATATCTCCTCCCCCTCTGGCCTTCTCCCAACCCACAAGAGAGAATAGACCCATCAACCATAAAGCAATAACCAGGTATTTATTGGTTTATTCATGTCAATCGCAGATAAACAAATATTTTGGGTTTATTTTTACAAATACTGCTGCAACACGTCCCACCTCCCTTTTCTCTATTTTTAATCATCGCACGCCAATCCATCTAAACTGTTAATTTTTTATATATTTCGCCATGTCGTTCACAGCTCTGGAATCATACAACTATCCTGTTTCTGTCGACGAGCTCACCCGACGCGCACATGCCCAGCACAAAGAGCTCCTCTCAGCCAACGTCAAGCTTACTACACCGCCCATCAGCCGCCTCCAACTCGTCTCCATCCAACCCACTGGCTCCAAAGACACCCGCATCACCGGTGCCGTCGTCACATACTGCCTCACAGTCGACCCTGCAGACTGCAACACCTGGGGCGCCATCCACGGAGGCTGCGTATTCACCCTCTGCAATGCTGTCGGAAAAATAACCACTGCTGTGGTTGCCTGTGGCGCTAAAAAATTGTTTCCACCGATCTGACTACCAATTATCTCGCGGGCGTTAGGGTCGGCGCCACTGTGACCATCGAGATTGAGTGCTTGCGCGCCACAAAGTCAATTGCCTTCCTCCGTGGGTGCATCAAGGACAGCAACAGAAACACATGTTATATTTGCGTGCAAAACGTCAGTTTTCAGCTGTAGCAACAAAAATAAAATTTACCAGTTTTGATTGCTATATTAATAATAGAAATTAACTCGTCGATATTGGATAGTCCAAAAAATAAAAAATTTGAATTGGAGGACCGGGGTATCGATCCCGTACTTCACGCATGCGAAGCGCGCGCTCTGCCATTTGAGCTAGACCCCATCTCTCTTCCACTTCTTGTTTTTATTACAAAATTCCACGTGACAATCTGAAATTTTGCACTACTAAAAATGGATACCCAGTTCTCGCGTCCAGTGCCCCGACGGCACCGGCACCACGGCCCCCGCCGCTCGACCACCGCCCCGACCGCTGCCCCATCCCACGACCCTGCGCCCGCAACTGACCCCCTGCCAGCTCACCCCTCCCGCCTGAGAGATCGCGGGAGAGCCGGCACCACCCAACGCTCCTACGCCCAGGTGCTCCGCCCAGACATTGGCTCCGCCAACAGCTCTGCCAGCGGCACCACCATGCCCAGAGGCGCACCAGCTCGCAAGACCCAGCGCGAGCTCGAGCTTGAACTCTACCCGGCGCTGACTGTGCCCACCCTGTCGCTCCACATCCCCAATGGACGCCCCAAACAGATGATAGCAGCTGTTAGTCGCCATGTCTTCGAGAGCATGGACCTGCCTGGAAACCTGGATCCCCGGGACCCGCGCAACCCCATCAGCTCCTTTGCGTTCGAAAAACATGCAATTAACGTGGTGTTTAAAACATTAGACAACGTGGCAAGTATAATACCATTCCCTCTCATGTGGGAGGGAATGGAGTATAAATGGCACTCTAAACACGGCAGCATCTCTGTCCTCGCCCTCCTCGGCGCACCCACCACGGCCACGCCCTCAAAGCTGAAGGGAGCCCTGAAGGAATTTGGCATTTTCACCCATGTTGACTCACTATTGTGCGCAGGCTATGCAACTGGAAACTGGATTGGATTCTTCCACCCCAAGGCCGGTGCTAAGCCGCACCCAAAGACAATCCGCCTCAACTATACCACCCAGGACATCAGAATAGTGGACTTCTCAGACACAATCGAGTGTGCACACTGCGGACATGTTGACGTCTCGCCATGCAGCTGCACACAAGCCACCGGCCATTGTGTCAAGAGGCGCTGCAGAGCCCAAGGCCAACGCGCAGCACCCCGCCCAATCAACCACCACCGCCGACGCTAGCACCATGGAAGCAGATATCCCCAGCCCTATTGTCAGCGGCCAGCAGGCCACACAGCCACTCTCCACCGCAGCACCATGTGCTCATGAGCAGAGTGTGCAGCGCACGGCCCCCACCCCAAACAACAGCGATGAGATTGTGATTGACATGTCTGACGAGTACGAACAGCGACTCTGCCATGTCACAATCTGCAAGCACCAATACCCCCAGCCACCACACTGCCGCCTCACGCAACCATGTTGCTGCCACCAGCGCCGCAGTGAAGAGCCGCAAAGCATGCCCAACAGAGCCCCTGGCGCTCTCTGGCACCCAGCACCACTACACTACCCAAAGCGCAGCCCAGGCTGCCACTCCCACCCCCCTGACGGCAGCAGCACCAGAGGACGCCAATATGATGGACGTCAATGAGGTGCCAGCCACACATTATTAATGTGTGCTGCTGCAAACCCCCACCGCAATACAGCGACTCCCCCAGCGCCCCAAGTTGATCATGCCCGAGCTGACAACGAAGACGAAGGAAGAGCGCCACCCGAGAACCACCAGCCGCCCCAGTGCCCGGCGACGCCCCAAACCTAGCCACACCCCCGCCCGCGCCTCTGTCCGGAACAGACCGCGCAACACTGCAGAAACACCCACAGCAGCAGCAACCCTCCCACTCCCAGCCCTCAACCTGCTCTCGCAAAACCTGCGGGGCATGGGAATGGGAAGCCGCTCTGCCTCCTACACAGCTGAATGGACACGCTTTATCCGCCCTCACAGCCGCCCCTGCCCAACAACAACGACATCCAAAACGAAAATGCTGCAGCCGCCTCTGAGGCCACTGCACAACTGCCTACCGTGAATCCGTCGACCGGAAGCTCAAGCTAGCCGCCCTCCTTGCTACAACTGCGCCGCAGCACAACCGAGACACGCGATGCTGTGGACATAGCATTCCTACAGGAGTGCAATCAACGGCCTCACCCGAGGACCTTTTACGCTCACGATATCCAGAATACCAGACCTTTTCTGCACAGCCGGTCTGCCAATGAACATGACCGACACACAAACACCAAACATGACACAGCGATTCTTGTCCACCGACGGTGGGCATGGCCCATCTGGAACATGCAGTAGCTGCTCACGGGCAACCTTTGTCACTGTTCCGACCGAGGCCTGATCATTGTGTCCATACATGGCCCTTTGACGAGGTAGATCCTTCCACGACGGCATTGTCCACACCATCTCAACCTATGTCACCTGTGGCTGGATCCCTCTGATCGCCGGTGACTTCAACATAGCCCCACACCCAATTCGACCGCCAATCCACGACTGAACGCAGCCGCGAGACAGCCCACTATGACATAATCCCGATGTATGAGTCTGCCCTACGCTCTAACGATGCAGCCCACTTTCTAACACCACCACCACCGCCTGATGCCCCGCCACTGTCAACCAGAACCCGCGCACTGAATTGTTTACCTACAAACACCAGCGGCCCGATGGTTCCATAGCCTTTGTATCCGGATAGACCTGTTCATAGTCCCCACAACCATGCTGATGCGCGAAGGCGTCGCCTTTGACCTGCTCGAGTCGGGGGT